AGTAAACTAGCGCTCGAAGAAAGACAAAACAAATAGCTATGGTTTCATATGTACTTCTATAATTATCATGCTTAGTCGATACAACAATCATATACATATATATGGCTAGGATATAGTACTATGCACCTAGGCACTACAGAGAGACCATCACATGTTAGGTCTGCCAGTGTGGTTACGGTATTTAGTATTTACCAAATTTTACATCATACCTGAAAGTGGAGAAATACAAAGGACGAACAAGGCTATCACCACCTGCCGCCTATCTCACTATTCGTGGGGCACACCCACATCGAATGATATTTAATCAATCTACACACTATGCTTACATTGCTAAATAATATCACTAATTTCCTCAGGACTCCCACTCTACATATGGACAAGTAAAAACTAGTACGACACGTTAACATCATTGGACCAACGCTGCAGCATAGATCGACTACCGAGCATATAATGACAAAGCAATATATAACCTACGAGGACAATTAAATATAGAAGTGTCATGGTTATGGATACCACATATCCAATATTAGTTGTCGCGCCCAGAGATTCGACAACCCGAATCACTGGCTATCTGTGCATTTAACCTCTGTCCAGGCATCAACCAGAGTACACATATGACGATTGGATACATTTCCACGTCTTACAAAAATATAAAATAAACTCAGCAAAGCAGCGGGAAAACTAAAGAACATCTAAACTTAATCTTCTCAAGCTTCCTCCAAATCCACAGGCAAAACCTCGATGTCTGGCACAAGCTTAGTCCTCATAGAACTTACCATCCGATCAATTCTCTGCTTCTGGGGGATCAGGAAAAATAAAGCAAGACTGAGAGCAACCACCGTACTCAACAAGTCATACCAAAGGGAAGGTATAATGCAAGGATATTCAAATGAATGGCTCATAGGATATTTGTAGTAAAAAGCAGCATTTATAAATCATAAGTTGAAAGCAGTCAAGCAGTAGATATAATTAAGCAGTATTAACCATCATCACTATACAACACTAAATCCACGTTGAAACAGGCCCAACCAAACCAACTGAACTACACCAGTTCATTAAGTCAAATTATTAAGGTGAGACTAGTCACGGTGAGCTGGTTGACCACCCAATAACCACGGGTACGGCTATTCGAATAGTTTTACTCTGATCAGAGGTACAACTTTACCTATAAGACACGATTCCGCGCATGCTATAATGCCCCGAAGTACTGCCACGATACTGCAAAGGGGTAAATCATGACAAAACCCTCCATATAACCACCCCTAACCGACACACCCACCTCCGATTTCACCCCCATCCCTATACAGACGATGGGCAGTCCCTTCTCGTGCCTAGGTAAATCCAGAAGCAGCATAGACCAATATACTGGTCCATCCATACTCCATCATGCCGACCTTTGCCAACGGTGTGTTAGCTAGAAAAGATTATACTTTAGATTCGGGCCTGTGGTTAGTACGAGTATATCTTCTAGGGATTCCTGAGAACCGGTCCTTAATTGTCATGGGTGCTACTTGCAAAACCATGCACCCACGACCCACTAATAAAGCATATTTTAATTAATTAATTATATACCAAGGTGGTATAACATTATCATAATAATTAAGGACTAAAATATAGTGAATCTCCATTGTGAGCTAGTTGATCTAAGCATGGCTAAGCATTCCTAAACCAACCATCTAGTCAAATTAATATCCCAGGCTATCAATGAATCATGGTATTCAAAAGGCTGAGTACATGTAAATTCCATCCTGCATGACATTATAAAATAATGCAATTTTAAGAGAAAAGTAGGGATTTTGCAATTAGTCTTAATATGATCAATGATATCCGTATGACTTCCCTTTCTCTTGAGCTGATGGAACCTCGGCGACCACTTCAAAATAAACTAGAGCATCGAAACTGCCGGAATCTAAACGATAAACAAGGCACACAATAAATACAAGCTATAAAGCTACTGAAACAACAAAAGAAACCAATTTTGGATTCTAGACATTTTAACGAATTTACTGCGACTTGAATGGATTAAAACGGAGCTCAGATTATATAGTTATGAATTTTATAAGATGAGCTGTGTTATTACTAATAACCGAAAAACCTTAGTCATTTAATACATATTATTGCACATAGATAAATAGATCAATGGAAATAAACCTCCAGTAAGCAAGCCTCATGAATTAGTGACTCAACGAGTAACCTCATCGTGCCACAGGACCATCCAAGCGGTCAACCGAACCGGCGGCTTAGAACGACAACAGAAAACTAGACAAAGTTTACAGCAGAGACTCGTCATGGCAAACGATATGCCGGTAGGAATTTAGGGCTGCACCTATGGCTTTGCAACATGACTACCGAGCTATGACACAACGGCAAACCACGACGACACCGCGGGAGAGCGGCGGCGGCTCGGCTCGGCTTCGCTCGGCCGGCGGCATGACTAGGGCAACAGTGGCGCGACAGGAGGGTGGTGGCGGCGCGGCACCGAAGGCGTCGGCGGCGACTCGGCTAGAGCAGCGGCGACTAAACTAGGGCTAAGCTATACAACTACACGATAAACTAAAACACAGGGAAGACCGAACGGAATCCTCACCGAGAGAACAACAGCGACGATGGCAACCCGGTGAGGATGACGACAACGACGCTAGAGGAAACCTAATTAGAAAAGATTAATCGGATGGGTTAGGGTTATAGCCACAACTTCACCAACACAATTATAGGGAATCTTACTAGTGATGCGAAGGCGATGGCAAGCGGCGGCGGTGGCAAGAGGCGGCGGCGCGGCAACAGGGGGCGGCGGCGCGACAATAGAAGGTGGCGGTGCTAGGGTGGCATGTAGGCTAGGACTCCAACAAAACAAAAATAGGAAAAACAGGGGTAGGGTGGCTTATATAGGGGTGGAGGTAAAAGAGGTGGGGCCGGAGGGGAATAGAGTCAGCAGGGGGAGGGAGGGAGACTGACTCGGCTTCGGGGAGGGGAGGCGGCGCGCGCGCGGGGAGAGGGAGAGAATGGGCAGCAGCCGAATAGGATAGGGAGAGGGAAGAAAAAATAGGAATGGGAGGTTAGGCTTAGGACTTTCCTAAAAAGGAAAACAAATGCGGTGACATTTTAGGAAAAGAACGGAAACGGTTCAGTGAACGAAAACGGACATGGTTCGCCATGCAAAACGAAACCGTAGAAAGAGAGGGGTGTGAATCGGGCACGATTGATGACCAAAGGCGGGAAAGAATAATTAATTACTTCAAATCTTGACAAATTAAATTAACAACATGTACTTCGATGCTCTGAATATTCCACTTTAAGTCCTGTTAGTGATTTAAAGCAAAGAGAATTAGAAAAAAATTTCTCCCCGACAATTCCGATTATTAAACACATTGTTAATTTGGGTTTTTTCCTAGTTAACCGATGTAATTTCTTTAGACGATTTATTGGTGAATTAGAACTACGGGAAAGGGGAAAACTCCGGCTGTGACAGTAATCGACTAAGCTCGGCGGGGCCCACCACATATCAACTCTTGTACGGAATCATACCTCGTATATAGAAGTAGTTTCGGGTAAGGAAGGACAAGTAGAGTTTTATATGGAAATAACAAGGACTACTCGGATTGTATCCATATTGGTCTCCCTAATTCTACTTAGACAAGGGGACATCTATGGGTATAAATACAAGATCCCCTAGGAGGACAGGGGACAAACCAACAAGACACACAAGTCATAATAGACACATAAGCCATGATAAGCCAAACATCGACATCAGAGATTAGCCTAGACAGACCCAATCCAGTGCCTGCGGAGGCCGACAAAAGGGATCTAGCGCAATCTCTGATCTCGACGAGCTCGTATTCGAAGAGGAAGACTACCATGTCATCGACTACGTGTTGGTGATCTATGCTGCCATATTTTCAACTTCATTTTATTGTATTATCCATGCATTCAATGTATTATCAAGGAATAAGTGGAACTACATTATTTGTAAGTTATATGTGTGTAAGAAATGCTAGTTCTCTTTTATTTGTTGGGCAAATTGACAACTGAAATCGGTAAATAACAATCATCAACAGTATACAATCGGTATCAGCTTGTATCGAGGGGTATTACGCGGTACCGATGGATAGTAGATCCAGTCTTGACGGGTATCAGCTAGTACCAATAGAGTACCAGATCTGGTAACTGTCTGCTATTATCCGGTTTGAATGAGATACCATACGATAATTACCTTGAAGTCTCTTAATGTGTAAACTTGAAGCTAATTATCCAACTTGCAATCCAATAACAGTACTAGTACTTTTTTTTAGAGGAAAAGAACTCTCCATTAACTTAAGGACTCAGCAAAATAACAGTACTAGTACTAGATGTGTATCGCCTTCCTCCTTTGTAACTATCCGGACAGTCGTCAGGCTTAATTAATTAATATACACTCGTACCCAACAAAAAAATAATATACAAGCTCGTATATAGAGCCCACCACTCAGCTTACCCTCTGCCAGATTAATTGCATATATAGTCATCTCTATGTACACAATACTTCTGCTCTAGCTTATATTTAGTTCCTAATCCTTTGCAGCATCTGCAAGAAGTTGTAGCGGTTAATTTTTCAACACGCTTCAACCATGGCACACACCATGGTGAGCGTTGCCACAGGGGTCCTGTGCCCTGTGATTGGGAAACTCTCTACTCTATTGCAGATGAAGTACAACAGGCTGAAGGGAGTAGATAATGAGATCCTCTCCCTGAAGGATGAGCTAAGTAGTATGAATGCTCTACTCCTAAAGCTAGAGGATATCGATGACCTCGATATCCAAGTGAAGGAGTGGAGGGACCAGATCCGGGAGTTATCGTATGATATTGAGGATAGAGTTGATTATTTCATGTACCAGGTAGATGGTGATGCCCACAGGCGTGAAAGCATAAAAGGTTTCTTGCAGAAGAGCATTCGACAACTGCGGATGCTTTGAGCAGGTGACAAGATGGCTCATCAAATAATAAAGTTAAAGGCTCGTGTTGACATGGCGAGTGAACGTCGCAAGAGGTACAACTTTGATGAGACCTTGTCAAGTTCAATTGGTGTGGTGCCGATCGATCCTCGATTACCAGCACTCTATGCAGAAAAAGAAAACCTTGTGGGCATTGATACACCAAGAGTAGAGCTCATCAGGTTTTTGACTGAAGGGGAGGATAAATTGCTGCAAAAACTGCAGGTGGTATCTATTGTTGGACTTGGTGGACTAGGAAAGACAACTCTTGCCCGTCAAGTTTATGAAAAAATTGGTGGGCAGTTTGATTGCCAAGCATTTGTGTCAGTTTCTCAAAAACCCGACATAAGGAAAATATTCAAAAATATACTGATCAATATAACAGAGCTCGATTATGGAGCCATAGATGCATGGGATGAGGAGCGGCTCATCAATAAACTCAGGGAATTTCTCAACGATAAAAGGTACGTACTTCTATTTTTAACTTCGTACTATTACCCTAATCGATAATTATTTATTTCATTACCCCTACTCTTTTCAATATACATGGTACAACCGCCTGCTCAAAATATTAGGTGGTCATTGCAAATTATTTTCAAAGAGAAAATAGCCTAAAACTCTTACATGAATGAGTTTCTTGACCCATGAGAATTTTGTTTTACTGCAAGAACCAGTAGCGCATCTAGAAATATTTTACAGCTCGAGCAAACTTTACTATAGCTAGTATTTACTACATAAATTTTATTTCTAATTTTATAATTAGATTAAATTTTAATGGATAAACCACCGACGAGCCCAAGCAGCTGCCTGGGTTGCCGGCCGGTAGATCCGCCCCTGGCAAGAACATATATTTCTAACAGTAGAAGATAGGAAAAAAAACAAGACCATGCCATCCCTCTCATACCAAACAGGCAGCCAGGACCATATCCCTAAAAGCAGGGATTACCCCTGGCCCTGAGTTATCAAGGGTGACTCATCTATAAAAATACCTTGATCCGTTTTCCATACCAATGCGTTCATATGCGAAAATTGTTCTTACGTAAGACCATGCGCCTACTTATGAAAATGGATTTTCACATGTGAGCTGGTCGCCAGCTAGCGAGTGGAATTTTTCTTTTTCCTATCCCCTAATCATAAGCTGGCTGCCCAGCTAGTCGCATATGAAAACCTGTTTTGTCCACAAGTACAAATCTATTCTAGTGGTGCCATTCACTATGAATGATTTATCGAATTAATTAATTTCATTTTACTTGACTATATAGCTCATACAACTAACTCAACTTGTGACACAAACGGGGCAAAAAAGTTACGTCGACCATGTGCTACTACCCTAGGAATAAACTAGTATTCTAAAGGCTTGTATAAAGGGTAAATATAATTACCTTTTTTTTCTCATTTCTGTAACTATCTAGCCTCCCTCTCTTTTCATCATTTGCATGTTAATGCACCGACTAACTACTCCCTGCTGTACTTTTTCGAAGATATTAATTAATGGATAACGAACCATGACACATTCCACTCAAAATTAGGGCATGTTTAGTTCATGGAAAGAAATTTTTTTGGATGTCACAACAGACGTTTGACCAGATGTCGGAAGGGGTTTTCGGACACAAATGAAAACCTAATTTCATAACTCGCCTGAAAACCGCGAGACAAATCTTTTGAACCTAATTAATCTGTCATTAGTATATGTGGGTTAATGTAGCACTTATGGCTAATCATGGACTAATTATGCTCAAAAGATTCGTGTCGCGATTTTTCCCCTTACTGTGCAATTAGTTTTTTAATCTATATTTAATATTCCATGCATATGTCAAAAGATTTAATGTGATGTTTTTGAACTAAACCAGGACTTACTTCTCTTTTGTTTCACCAATTCCTCAATCGTGCCTAAATAAAATAATAAGGTTTATAGGTGCACTTTTTTGGTGGTTTACTAGTAATTAATCCTCCAGTCACAAAAGAATACTATTATTTAAACATTTCAAAGTTAATAAGACATAATTATGACCGCTTAATTATTTTTCGTAAAATATCCAAATAATAGTAACACAGGTACACAATTACGAAAGTTTTAGTTAATAATAACAAATTAAATTTGGTTATGCTTTCATACATCGAAATCTATATTCTAAACAATAATAAAAGTTAGCCTAGTTTAACTACACCAACTCTAAAAAGACATTTTTTAATTATGACCGGATGAATTACTAATTTTCGCATATCTGACGCATGTATATGTGTGCCTATGTGTGGGATTATCATTTGTTAATTATATAGGTACTTTGTCGTAATTGATGATATCTGGAGCACAACAGTTTGGACAACAATCAGATGCGCTTTCTGTGAAAATCACCGTGGCAGTAAAATATTGTGTACAACACGTATCATTTCTGTAGCTGAAACATGTTGCTCAGCTGACTGAAAAAATATTTATGAAATGAAACCCCTGTGTGATGTTTATGCTGAAAAATTGTTCATCAAAAGGATTTTTGGCTCTGAAGATCAATGTCCTGCTTATTTGAAAGACATATATATTGACATCTTGAGAAGATGTGGTGGTTTACCATTGGCGATTATTTCACTAGCTAGCTTATTGGCTAACAAACCACGCACAAAAGAACAATGGGGGAGGTACAGAAATTCTATTTGCTCAGCAACTGAGAACGTTCCTAGTGTAAGCAACATGCAGAGGATTCTATCTCTTAGTTATAATGACCTGCCCCACTATTTGAAGACATGCTTGCTATATCTGAGTACATTTCCAGAGGATGTGCTGATATGGAGGGATCCATTGATAAGAAGATGGATAGCCGAAGGGTTCATCACTACACAAGGTGAAGGTGGACGAACTTTAGAGGAAGTCGGAGAGTGCTATTTTAATGAACTAATCAATAGGAGCATGATACAACCGGAGGAAATCCAATACGACGGGCAAGCTCATGCTTGCCGAATGCATGATATGATTCTAGATCTTATTATATCTAAATCAGTTGTTGAAAATTTCATCATTTCATTTTCTCATAATTATTTATTGGGATGTCAAGACAAGGTAATTCGTCGACTTTCCCTCGACTGTCGAGAGCGAGATGTTATACTTCCAGCAACCATGGCTCTTTCGAGTGCTCGATCACTTGTTGTGTATGGGTCCACCGAACACATTCCACTTATTTCAGCCTTCCATGTTCTGCGTACAGTTGCCATAGAAAGCAATGATAAACTGAAAAATTGTTATCTCAGGGATATTAGGAGATTATTTCAGTTAAAATACTTGAGGCTGAGTGAAGTTAGCATAAGTGAGCTTCCTGAACAGATAGGCGAGCTACAAGAACTACAGACACTAGAACTCCAACGTACCAGCATAAAAGAATTACCGAAGAGCATAGTTCGGCTGAAAAATTTAGTGTTTTTGGTTGCTGATGGCATAACTCTACCAGAAGGAATAGGAAATATGAAAGCTTTGCAGAAACTTGTAGGGGTGAAAGTTGATATCAGCACCCCAGTGGATTGTTTGCGTGAACTGGGTGGTCTGAATGACCTGAGACGTCTGTATATAATATGGTGTGTTAGTGATGCATACCCTGACAAGAAAACATACACAGATAGCTTTATTTCCTGCATCGACGAGCTGTGTACATTCAAGCTTCGGTACCTACAAGTTGGATGCGATGTTACAAATGATTCTTCTCTGGATTTCATGCTGGATTCTTGGTATCACCCTCCTTACCCACTTTACAATTTTCAGATGACCACATACTACTGTTTCCCCATAATTCCAGAGTGGATGGCCACGCTTTTTAACGTCGCATTCCTGGACATCAATGTTACTTCTGTGGGGAAGGATGTTCTTCGGATCCTTGGGGACTTGCCTTCTCTCTTATCTCTTTCAATTACGACGAAAACAATTGTATCAGAAAGGCTAGTCTTCGGCAGCAATGGGTTCCAATGTCAAAGAATTTTACTTCCATTCATGGCATGATGTCGTTGGTCCTTTATTGTTTGAGGTTGGGGCTATGCCAAAGCTCGAAAAGTTTTGGTTCAACTTGTCAGCACAAACAGCAGGATCTCTAAACAGCAACTTCTATGTAGGCCTCCACAACATGGTTTGCCTCAAGAATCTTGTCATTGAGGTAGACTGTAGGGAGGCGAGGGCAGAACAAGTGGAGGCTACAGAGGCTGCTGCCAAGAATGCTATTGCAAACAATCCTCTCCCCGATCATCTCAATGTTCAAATCAGAAGAAACTGGGTACACAGAATAATAAAGGACACGGTCATGGGCAACAGCGTTGTGGAACAGCAAGAGGAGACAACAGTAAAGATTCATTATAACTGAAAAAGTGTACTGTGGTGCAAGTAAGTAAACATGACTACACGAGTACTCAGATTACTCCAACCCTTGCACACACCTACAATTATTTGTGCTACTACAACAACTACTACTAATTAGTACTTTGTTCAGGAATTGAATGGGAACAATATCGTTGGAGGTATGTCACGAGAGCCTTCGACTGAGCCTGCCGAAAGCAGTTCACAGCCGCCAGGGTGAAGCGTGGCGGCAAAGTGCGCGAAGACGAACGCTCAGCATGAATCACTAGGGGAAGCCAAGGGACTGAAGTGACCAACCGATCAATGGAGGCCCACTTGGTGTCCTAAGAAGAAGCGCTGGGTGAATTGCCTACAATTATCCTCATAAATATCTCTATCATAAGGGTAGCCATATAAATTTCTCTGTATTGAGTAATCCTAGGGTACATGAGCTTGTACTAAGTTTATAAATAGGACCCAAGGGGCATGTATTGGGAGGATCCCAAGAAATTTTAAATATTAATACATTGTTTTTACATTTCCACAAATAGCGAACCTTGTCTTTCAATGGACTCTGTTGTCATTCGACAAAAGCTGGTGCTGACTGTGGGGAACCTAGGCCGAAACCACTTATGCCACTCTTGATATTTCTTAACGATATTACTACGAACATAATCCAAGGAATGCTCTATGTTACAGATATAAATCCACAAGCACACGGATATATCACTGTAGCAATTCACCCGAAAGTATTTTCAATGTATCATATTTATTTAATCTCAAGGGAAGATATGGTAAGAGAGTACTATTCTAATAAATTCTTATCACTAGCCGCCAACCCGTGGTTGCACGGAATGTTAATCTAAAATATGTTGTCGTGTGATAAAAGTATTGGTTTTTCTGGTACAAATTATAAGTAGACTTTCTATTACTGACAGTTAAATGTAATGTAAAGTTCAATTTACTTTGCAGTTCTAAAGACAAGATTATTTTGTCTCTGCTAGATACCTTTTTTTTCTAAAGACAAGTTCTAAGTGTAACGCCCCAGGTAGCCACGTACCTAGAGTGCCACACTAAAAAAACACTCAAAACCACTAACTCCCGAAATTATTAGAAATTTCGGCAGAGTCTCTGCTAAAAATACGGACATCCACGACAGGTTGTTATAAGATAGATCAATAACGAATTAACCAACACATTGCTAACCATCCTAGCTTCATAAATTCCATGTGAAAATAAGGACCAGAACTTTAAATGACCTCTACAAGTTCTACACAAAACTTTGCTAAGCAGAATCATAGTCTAAAACTAAATTTCAATAGTATGCAATAATAATGTGTAGTCTAGGGGTGCTACTCCCGTCCCATGCCAATCAATGTCATTAGGTACCTAAAAACCAAATTAAACACAAGAGTGAGTAAAGAATACTCAGCAAATACAATATTGACCTAGTAAAACATACACAGGTTTATGCAATAAGAAAACCAATATGAAACATTTGACTTCCTTCAATTTAAAACGAATGAGGCAAAAAGTAGTAGTTCCCTCCCGGGCAGGTGTGAATATCCTCTAAGCAATACCGGTAAGCCGAGCAAGCGTGATCAGCGCTTCTCAAGGATCATGAATAAAGATCCAAATTGCACTCCCATGACTACGCGTGGTACTTGAATAATGTAAACAAAAACTTCTGAAACTTCTGAAAGAATGAAACATGAATAACGTCGTGAATTTGAACCTGAAGTGAAATATGAATACGTAGCATAGCACCAACACCATACAATTGATAATAGGAAGCTTCGAATAATAATTGGCTAAATAAAACCAAACAAAGTAACACACTTTATCCATCACACAAGTCCGTCTTGTACTTGCCTTAACTTCTTCGATAATCCAACTCAACTCCTCTAACGTTGGAATCCTCCACACCTGTAGAGAAAAACTACGCATAAACCACTATATCCAACTAATGATAATGATAGTTACAAGGGACATTTAATAAAATCGAAACCTAGAATATATAATTTTTTTACCAATTTATACTAAATAACCTATAGCTGTTCCCTTACTGTTTTATGCGTAACTCATAAACCGTCTAACCAAATCTAGAAAATAATACAACTTCGGACATCTATACAAAATTGTCTACAACTTTCTTGTTGGGCAAAAAAATCCGATTATGCCTCTGCAAATCCCAGATTAAGGAAAACGAATTGCTGTCCTGATTTCTGGACCCGGTCAGCAGTACTATTTTTGTTGTTTCTCCTAAACCGTTTATCGGAATCGAGGGAAACCAACGGCGTTAGAAAGATATCGACGATGACTACAAACTTTATTTTGGACAACTAATCTGAATCCTGATGGTTTAACACCAGAATTGAAAATACGTTTTCAGCCCCTAATCAAGAACCTCAAAAATTGCACGAGCGGCTATCGAATAAATTTCTATTTGAATCTTATACTTCTACGGACTAAAGAGAAGTTTCCTCTGCAGAGGAGGAACACTACCTTGCGACAAATTTCCCTAATTTGTGAAATCGCTGAAATTCCGCAACGTTGCTCTGCCTTTTCCTTTCCTTCTTCCTCCTGTACAACCTCTCTGTACCCTTCTCTCTGATCAAGCAGCAGCAACAGCAGATTGGATCAGCACCCAATAGCAGCAGCAACGCACAAGCAGCAGCAACAGCAGATCGGCAGCAGCCGCAGCAGCACAAGCAGCAGCAACAGCAGATCGGCAACGATAGAAGGAGCAGGAGCAGGAACTCACCGGGAAGAAGGAAAACGGAAAGAAAACACCGGTTGTGATGGATGACGACGGCTGTGGTCTCCGGCTATGGTCGTGGCGGCGACGCAAACACGGCGGCGGCAACCGGGATGACGGCAGCGGCGGCAAGCGTGCAGGAGCGGCTAGGGCTGGCTGCTAGCGATACTTTTTTTTCCTTTCTTTTTTTCTTCTTCTGTTGGTTAAATAGAGAAAGACTAATGAAGATCGAACGGCCCACAATAATTCGGTCACTGGAACTTCGTTCGGACTCTGATTAGTATAAACTTATAGTCTATTTTGCACTACTCAGCGAGCTCTATGCGTTCACAGTTCCTGATCGCTTTAAAAGTTAAAATCTTGCGTGTTTGTTCTAATATTCCCCGAAATATACTAATACGAAATTTGGGGTATTACATTCTTTCCCCCCTTCAATCGAATTCGCCCTCGAATTCGCCCAACCATAATCTAGAATGCCGGGTATTACATTCCTCCCTCCTTCAATCGAATTCGCCCTCGAATTCGTCCAACCATAATCTAGAACGCCGGGTATTACATTCCTCCCTCCTTCAATCGAATTCGCCCTCGAATTCGTCTAGGTGTACCTCGAACAAGTACAGAAGGAACTCATAGGTAGGACTTATATAACTCACCAGGTGTGAACAACTCCGGATACTTCTCCCGCATCTATGACTCAAGTTCCCAGGTTGCTTCTCGCTCGGTCTGGTGCATCTAGAGAATCTTGACATATTTAATAGTTCTGTGCCTCAGCACTGTTTCAGATTCCTTCAATATTCTTACTAGACGGGATTCAAATGTCAAATCTTGCTCAATGGTCACCGGCTCTACGGTAATATGATGTTCAGGGTCTCTCAAATATTTTCTCAACATGGAAATATGGAATACATCATGCACACCTTTCATGGGCTCTAGTAACTCGAGGCGATACGCTAGGATTCCAACTCTTTCCACTATCGAGAATGGACCAATATGTTTACCTTTCGTTCCAAATCTCACAACACCTTTGGCAGGAGATACCTTTAGAAGTACTTGATCACCCACTTTAAATTCCAATTCCCATCTTCTGACATCGGCATAGCTGTTCTGCCTACTTTGAGGTGCAAGCATGTGTTATCATATTTCTGCTATCCATTCTGTAGTCTATTGAACCCAATCGGGTCCTAAAACAGCTCTCCCCCCTATGGAATCCCAACAACAATGGGGATCGACACTTTCTTCCATAAAGTGTCTCATAGGGTGCCATTCTAATGCTAGCATGGTAACTGTTGTTGTAAGCAAATTCTACAAGTGGCAAATGATCCTCCCAACTGCATTTTCATGAAAGAATACATGATCTCAACATATCCTCTAGAGTTTGAATAGTCCGCTCAGATTGACCATCAGTCTGAGGGTGAAAAGCCGTACTGATATTCAATTGAGTATCAAATGCCTCTTGTACAGATTCCCAGAACTTAGAAGAAAATTTAGCATCCCTATCAGAAACAATCGAGCGAGGCACACCGTGTAACCTCACTATCTCCCCCCTATGGAGTTAGATGTTGGTTTGTTAATCTAGATGTGCGGGTTGTGTTGTGTTTTCCTGTTTATAGATGACATTTTTTTTTATCTTGGATTGCAGGTCCCAGGTGACAATCAAGACAGTACTCACTCAGTGTTGTACCCTTGCTTTTATCTCCGCCAGCCAAGAACTGAGTGGCAGACCGGCAGGTAAGTCTGCAAGTAACATGACAAATAGAAATTATTCCCATCTGTCAATTCTTATCTTATACAGAAACCGATGTGTTTGCTCTGATTTATATTAATGATTTAACAATTTATAAATGGTAACCTGTATCCAGTACGTACTGAATGGGCTGTGGTTAATTGAGCTTTCAGTCCATAGGCGTGATAAAATATGCTGCATGCAGTAGGCTTCAATCTATCAGTAGACCAATCAGTAAGTTTTTCTAATGAAGCATTCGGTGTAATAATTTTATTTTTATGAGATGCTGAATGACATGCTCAAACTGTAGCTCTTGCTCAGTTGTTCGTCCTAATCTTTTTATAAGTTTTGAGCAATGCGGCACAGATTTGCAAGAGCAATGTGGAATGAATTCTACCGTTAAACTTACGAACTGACCAAAATACACTATGTGCATAATCCTCAGATTTTCTTCCAATTTCCAAACTAATATTGTTAGTTCTGCAATGGATAACAATGGTGGGGTTCTGTACCAACATCGTCAACAAGAATAGGTGACAGTTTCATCCATCCAGTTAATGGCATATTCATCGAAAGTCCTGCAGCGGGTAAAAATGAATTATTTATACATTAGATTGTGCAGTTTATGTTGTCATGTAGCTACACAGACATCAGCCACGTATGTATCAAGGAGTTCTGATATATATGCAGGTTGAAACATGACTTGTAACTCACAGGTTGGCTGTCAACCATATCATATATAGAATTCCATCACCCGTGAGTTTGCTTGCTTTACTGTTCTTTCTACCCTTTTACCTAAACTCGTATAATTGATCTGGATATATTTTATATGATCCCCTTGTTATATCTGTGTCTTAGCTAAAAGTATTTGTAAACCAGTGAAATACAATTGAAATAATCCGGCGAGATTTGAAGTTAATGTATTAATTTTTTTCCCGTTGCAACGCACGGGCACCCAACTAGTGTAGTTATAATTTGGCTCTGGACGTTGTGGTAGGATGAAGCATGGGTGGGCACGGACGGATGTTACGTAATTAAAATTTGACTCGCGATGATGTGTTCATGATTGCGGATGACACGTAACACGTCTGTAGGCTAAAATTGATGTGTACAGAGTAAAATTTTGACTCATAACGTGGTGTAGGTAGTGGCGGATTGGATGGATTGCCGGCGTAAAATCTAGTTAAAAATGACTGATGATAGTAAAATTTTGACTCATAACGTGATGTTGGTGGTGGCCGATTGGGTGGACTGCCGGCGTGAAATAAAGTAAAACAATGGCTCACCATGTCGTGGTGGGTGGTGTTGAAGTGGGCTGCGGGGACACGTTGGCTGGAGTGCAGGCAGGAACTGAATCAGGCGCCACCTAATACGTAGCACCGTAAAGTGCTATATAGTGTGTGTATGTATATAGGTATGTATGTACGTACGTATGTATGTATGTATGTATGGATTCAAAAGCTCAAGAAAAACATCACCCTATGCTTGTCAAAGAACAGCTGTAGACGCTATTCGTACAGTGGGTTTGCAACGAGCAGAATTTATGGTAAAGGGTGCTAGTAGTGGAAGAGATGCTGCATTACGAGCCATTGCTAAAAGTGGTGTACGATTAAGCTGTATACGCGATGTAACACCTATGCCGCATAATGGGTGTCGACATCCTAAAAAAAGACGTCTGTAAAAGAATTAAACCCCTTTCAAGAGAAATAAACGATTCAATGATCAAATAATAATACTAGTCTATATGGTTCGAGAGGAGTTAGCAGGATCCACTCAAACACTACAGTGGAAGTGTGTTGAATCAAGTAAATTTGTTTGGTGCTCCATGGTGCCTGGGCACCATGATTGAAATTGAGTATATACCCAATTCAAATAAGTATGAATTTTTTAAATATTTAGATAGTAACATTAACTACTTTACTAGCTAGTTCAAAAGAAGTTTGAACTGAATTTAAATATATTTTTGTTAGATTTTGATTCTAGGTATATAAGATCAAAACATATAATTAGTTAGGTATGTAATAATGGATTGTGAAATAAAGTTAAATTTGAGTTATTTTATTGCTACGTATAGGTATGAATCGAATTCTTATAACTAGATATATACTCACAATTTGAATATATATGATAGAAAATATAATGATGCTAGCCGCGCAATCAGCGCGGGCCACCATGCTAGTTAGGCATGAAACGAATGCAGATTGATCTACTTGTATTTTTTTTACTTGTGCAAATAAATATTTATTTCCTTTTGAGAGAAAAGGTGTACATACTATCTTAATTATTCATAATGTTCCATTCGAACATCTATATTTTATGCCGCACTACAGTGCTCTCTACTTATAGTAGAAAGCAATCTGAATTGTTGATTTCATTTGATTGAAGGTTGCAAATCTATTTATATTATCACCCCAGTTAGTGGTAGTAGAAACGAGTATGGGCATTATTGTCAAAAAAAGGTACGAATGAGTATAGTCATCATTTAGTAGTTACTAAACTTTTTATCCTCATATTTTGGTTGTTTTTATGGAATATGAGCGATATCAATGGATGATCATATATAGATTGATTTTTGGAAAAACATAAATGACAAAGTAACTTGTAATCATTGTATTAGAAAATTACTAATTTACCCTAATAATACTGGTACTACCACCCTGCAGGTCTGCCGCCTCGCGCAGTCACGTCCTCGCCTGATCGCTATCGTCTGTCTCACTGTCTGATCTTCGTGACTTCGTCATTGGCATTGAGAATAATATCTTGGACAATATTGATCTCCAAACTATCATTGATGATTTCACTTCAAGAAATGCTTGAAGATCTTTTTTATAAGGGACATGGGATATTTGTGATCTTTTATTAAGGTATTTATACTACTTTGTTTCTATGGCGTTTTTTACTTGTCAATTATATTATCGTTTTTCTTTGCGCTTTATAGAGTATATGTATATATTAGAATTAAAAAAATATATACTTAACTTATTAAGGGTCCATAGTGTCAAGTTCGCCTAGGGCCTCCAAAATATCAGGACTGACCCAGTCTGGTAGTATAATACTACCGGTAGAGAGCACCGGAGTATCGATCCTATATTTTCTACTCTTTTAGATAAAGCCAAATGAACACTTGTTCTAGTTTTACTCCTTCCCGTCCTAGCTTCATTCTAAAAGAAGGCAATCTGACTCATATGTCCATCTCTGTTGCAATCGGATTGAGGGGCAACAAGAACACAACTAGAGGATCTGTACATCTAGGGCAAGTCAATGTAATCTAGTTGCCATGCTCTATACATGCTTTCTCTCATACCTTCAAGAACACGAGCATTCAACAGGTAGTAGATAGGTCGTTGTGCATACTCTGCTGCCAAGATTGCAATGGCATTGAGGCGGTGTCGTGGGAGTGATAAGAACCTGTCAATGTGGAGCTAGGCTTTGGGGTTCCATTGCACGAGACAGAGAGAACGGG